TACATACTAGAAAAGGGATGCCGTAATCTAACATGCAAATAAATTGAAGGTAAGTGAATGACGATTCACTAATTCTCCATTACAAAACTTAAACTATTAGTCCTAAGTGTTTTTGAGAATTCCTAGGTTCGGATGAGATTCATTGAACTATTCAATGGCATGTTTAAATCTCGATATGCCCCTCTTGTTTGTGACTGGGATGCCGAGGATCACAAAGCGGGTGTGAATTACCATGCAAATTCACATGGTGCCTTCATTGTAACGATCACCTATTCGATGTGCCGGTAAACCACACACGCTCCATCGAACTATGATAAACAATGAATCACCCTTTGCCACCTTCGCTTAGAACCAATTAGTGTGCCGGTAAACCACACACGCTCCACTAACTTCTTAGCAAGGTGCAAAGTGTAATTTCATGGGATTGCATCAATTCACTTTTCCTAAAGTAACTAAGATTGGGAAATTTTTAAAACGTGTAGTTACTTTGTATTTCTTATTATACTTTTAATGAGAAGATGAGGTTGCCCTATCCTACCCGTTCGGCTAACGACCCTCCACCAATCAAGCAAGCGGTGGGTGTGAGTGTACACCCATTAAGCGCCATTTTATAGGCCGCAACCTTATACCCACCTTATAGATCGGCTTCGTGAATGAGGCCTACTAACGGTAAGACTAGCATTTAGTTATACATATATATATTATTCTAGTAATATCATATTAGTATAGGGTTGTATTTTAAAACTTTTTCAAAATCTAGGGTTTGAAATTTAAGTTGTCTAAATTAAAACTTTTAATCACAAATATAAATTTCAAAACTTTAGGGTAGGTTTTAAACATTTAAAACATGAAGGATCAAATAACAAATAATTCCAATTAACAATTAATATCCTAATTATCTTTATTTGATTTATCCAAGATTTCTTTTAAGATAATTATCAAAATAATTAATCATTTATCACATAAGGAAATTAAATATTTTATTAGATGATAAATATCTTTAATTAGATCAAGATAATAGTCATATATATCAAAAAATCGGATTAGGGTTGATCTAATATGATTAAGGTAAGTTTCCATAAGATAAACATGAAAAAATCCCGGTTTTGCCTAATCCAGACGCCCGGACTCGCCGAGTACAGGGCTACTCGCCGAGTCCATGACTCATAAACCCAAAATCGAATTTTGCAGGTTTGTTTCAGTTAATCAAGCAACAATTTAAAGAAAACCAAGCTAGTCTCTGATACCACTGATGGGTTTTAGCCATAAGAACTTTCCTATGTGCGCATGCAAAACCCTAATGCTTGGATCTAGGCTTTCTAATTAAACATGCTTTGAATCCAAGACTTCTAATGGCTAATTAGGTTAAATAACAACATTGAAACAGATCTAGAATCATACCTTTGGATTCCTTGTTGATCTTGTTGTCTTGGAGCTTCTAGAGTCACAAATGTCACTCCTCTAATGGCTTACAAACACCAATAGCAAGCAAGATGATTTAGGAGAGAGGAGAGGGGAGGAATTCGGCCAGAGTATCTCTACTTTAGATGGTGTGTCGAATTCCCTCACCCCTAGGGTCTATTTATACTTGTAGACTCCTTAAGGGTTACAACCTAAACCCTAATTGGATAATCTTCTCTTAAGGCTATCCAAATCCATTCCATAGATAAGCCTTTGGACGATTTTAGCTATCCTATATCTCATAGAATTCGTCCAAAGCATATCCCAATGGATTTATAGTCTAAAGTTTAACTATCAAACAATTGACAGTTTATACCCCTTTATTTAATTAATCTCTTTAAGTCACCAAATTAATTCCAATTAATTTATGACTTATATTAATCAAATAACCATATATTATTCCTTATAATATTTACTCTCTCTTAACAAGTCATTCATCGAGTTGCTATGGTGAAGGCAACCCAAAAGGACCATGCACAACCGGATCAAATACTTGCCTAATATAGTTGCAGCCTTAGACACTATTCCAACACAATATAGATATGGGTCATGTAAGACTAATTTTTTTTGTTTGGGGAATTTTGGGTAATTTGACATCAATTCTTTTTAAAATGAAGTAAATTTTACTCAATTATGAGAAGCAAAAGTCATAGTTATGACGTTCCTATGAATGATAAACAAAGTTGTAAATATAAAGAAGTAAATTTCACGTGTCAAGTGTAAATCTATTAAAATGAATATTAAAGTAACCTTTTTGGAGGTGAATCATTGTGAGGTAGTAAAGGTGATGTATGTTTGTTCAATATACATAATAGAATTACCCTAGATAATTAGGAGAACCTTCTCTGCCAAACTCATTTGTGACTTAATCTACACAAACAGAAACCAAAGGGTGCAATCAGTTCATATGGCCACCATAATTATAACGAATTTAAAATTTGGAAATTATAAAATAATGTGAATATATACAAATTAGGGATATTTTTTTTTACCTTTGTGGGATCTACACTTACAAGACCACATGCTCTAGTTGCCGCTCCACTGTAACTATGTGACATGGCAATGATCCCAACAAAATTTGTACCAGGCTGCAATAAAATTAAAAAATGATTCATTTTTATAAAAACATTATACATCTTTAATCAAGATTTATGTGGATTATTAAAAAAACAAAAACTTCATCCTAAACCGAATCAACATCAATTCGTGTAGCTTTTAAAAAAGAAACTTGTGAAAGACTTTCTCATTTTCCACGTCAATTAGATCTCATTCTTCCACATAAAACTCATCAATATTTGTCATTTTCCTCTTCAGGAGCTGAAATTGAATTACCTAGTCTTAATAATAGAAAGTTAGAAAGAATGGTTACTTAGGCCTTAGCCGATTAAGATAGAGGTCCCTCTAAAGCCACAGACTCCGCCATTTTCTTATTCTTCTTCCGGTAACTATTGAAAGCATACGATGCAGTAAAAACTAAATCTGTCCCATCTAGTCTCATTGGATCACAAATCTATGAATAAAAAATCAACAATACAATATAGATCAGTAGCCTGAGACAACCAAAAAACACATATCTTTGCAAAATAAGAGATCTTGTATTATTTGTTACATTTGAATCACTTGTACCTCTAATCGCAAGCACTTTAACCTCATTTATGGTTTCTTCTGCAACAAAGGACAAAATAGATTAATTAAATAACCCTACTTATTTAGAGCCAAAAAAAATCACAGAAATTGACTTGATGAACTTTCTAGAGAAAGAAAGAAGAGAATGAAAGAAAGCACAACATTGAAATAAAAGAAGATTGAAAACGACCTTTGTTCAAAGTGGCAGTGATATACATTTAGCTTTCACCCTCTCTCTTTCTTTTACGATTTACTGTATCAATCTTCATCAGCCAAAAAATGATAAAGAATGACAAGAGATTGTAGGAGGAGTTGAATGACAGGGAAGATATGAAGAAGCAGAAGTAACGATCTGATTCTTAATTAATCGATTTGATTGCCTAATTACGTTTCTTGTTTACTTCCTGATTTATAGCGTTGTAGTCGGAAAGTATCATCTTAAAATTTTGAATTCCGATTCAAATTTGATGAAGACTCCCTGATTTATTGTGATTACCTTGAATAATCGGTTGAAGATATTTTGATAGTTGATTGCACAAAATTCGGCAGTTGAAATTTAGGGATTCAAAATTGATATTGATATCGATGATATTGATATAGATCGATGAATTGGGCGGGAGAAAATAAAGGGAAGTGCTAGAGAGAATGCCACGTGGAATAAGATGGTATAAAAGAAGGACATGTGGCATGTAGGAGAGGTTTTTATTAAGAATAGAGATTTTTGGATAAAATTTCACGATTGGTCCTTATGGTTTACACAATATCGCACTTTGAGGACTTTCTAGCAAAAAGTCACGCGAATGGTCCTTAAGGTTTCATTTAATTGCACGATTGGTCATTGACCCTAACCCCGTCACTTTTGAACCGTTAGTGAAGGGGTAAATTTGTCTTTTCATCTTGCAGTCACTCTAATAATTGATCATTATGCACATAATATACGCATGAACTTTGCAATTAAGTATAAAGATCATCTTCCCCAGCTACCCATTACCAATTCGCGTTCATCTTCGTCTTCTCCAACAGAACACAAGGCGAGGATCATCTGTTGATTGAAAACGATAATGGTGTTAACGTTATGGTCAATTCGTTCCAAATACACGAAAGCATCAAACTATGATTTGAAAAGGATATACCGTAAGTGACTTACTAAAGTGTTCTTTGATTTTGTCGATTTGATATTATGCCCAAATTTTTGAAATTTTTTTGTTATTCTTTTTTTCAGAGGGAATAAGCAACTATTTCACTATGAAAATCCATCATGGTGGGATATTCACGAAAAGCCCTGGGAGAAGGTACGTAGATGGAACAATGGACTATGTTGACTTCGTAGATATTGACGTTTTCTTTGTGCATGAGTTGGATACAATGGTTCGAGAAATAGGGTAAGTAGAAGGGCAAACTTTGTATTATCATTTTCTTATTCCAAAAGTAGAGTTAGACTTTGGTCTGTTACCTCTAGAAAATGATGGGGATGTGCATGTATTGTCAAATTATGTGGAAAAAAAAGTAACCTTTTAAGTATCTGCATAGAGCATGGGCATACAAGGGTTAACAGTATTTTTTGTCCCCCACCAAGGTTATTATTGAGGAGTTGGTTACTGATGTATCCCCTGAACTAGATAGGAACCAAAAGAAGGGAAAAGTTGTTGGATCTTCTAGGAAAAAATTAGACTACTCCCTATCTATTGTGCCATATGGAACATTTGATGGACCTTCACAAGTGATACAGGATAGTGAGCCAGTTATGGATGATGAGCCAGTTATGACTGATGAGCCAGTTTTGAATGATGAACCAGTTACGAATGATGAACCAATTATGAATGATGTGTCAATCATAGATGATCAATATGATGAGCCAATTATGAATAATGATCCAGTTGTAGATGATGAATATTATTGCGAGGATACTGCAGATGAAAGTGAATTTGATAGTCAGCATGATGCAAAAAAAAGTGTTTGATGAGGAACCTTTGATAGATGATGTGGAGGTGAACATAATCAACTTCTGTAGTGTACTTGATGAAGACATTGACTTAGGCCAGCCTAATCCGACAAACAATAATACAGAGGAACATGAAGACATTGAAGATGAACCTTTAGAAGTCTTAGACAATGATGTCTTTGAGTCATTTGCTAGTGAAAAAGAGCCTAGAAAGAAATTGTTAAGGTCTATTCTAAAACCAGTTGCTTGTTCATTTGGTGAGGTTCACACTAAAGCTTTTAATATTGGTCACACATTCAAGGAAAAGGAAAAAATAAGAGAAGTTATTGCCAACTACTCTGTAAAAGAAAGGAGGGATCTACATTATGTAAAGAATGACAAGACAAGAGTTAGGGTAAAGTGTAGGGGTATTGTTCCTGAATTGACTGGTGACAATAATAAAGGTAGGGGCAATTTAGTACTTTCCAAGAAAACAACTTGTCCATGGGTTCTTTTTATATCTAGGGCAGACGAGAAACAAGTTTGGACTGTCAAAACATACGAAGATTGTCATTCTTGTTTGCAAACAAGGACAATGAGGGCTTGTTCATCTAAGTTTCTAGCTAACAACATATTGCATCAAGTTGAAAGTAACCCCAAGATTAGGAATGGCAACGGGGCGGGTTCGGGGCGGGGCATGGTTTCCCAAACCCGAACCCGATATCTACATATGTGCCCGAACCCAACCCGATACCCGACGGGTTTTTTATCGGGGCGCCCCGTCGGGGCTGAAACTCTCCCCGAACCCGACCCTAAACCCGAAACCCGATAATTACCCGAAAACCCGACCCTAAAACCCGAAATATGGCAGAAAAAAAGAAGGAAAAACTATAAATACAGAATGATAAATTAAGACGATGCATAAACTTAAAATACCAAATAAGTTCTTAAATCATTAAACCAAATAGAAATTACTAATAGTCTATTATTGTAACATCAACCAATCAACCAAAACACCCAAGTACACAACATTAAAAACTAATTCATCACAATAATACATTACCACTTAACATTAAAACAAAGTTACAAACTCAAAATCAAACAAAATCATCCAAACTTGTTGTCCCGCTTTCTTTAGTGTTTTCCTACAAAATATTAAACAAACTCAAAATCAAACCAAATCATGGAAACTATATAAAATTAATATTTTTAGGAGTTTCGTTTGACCTCTTCCACATCATAATCAAATTCAACAGAACGACAATATGCCTCCATCTCTTCAGAACAAGTTGCTGTGTAAAATTAATATTATTAATATGCAAAAAAAAAAAATCACAATTTCATATAATTAATATAAAATAGTATACTACCTCGAATTTCATTCAACAACCAACTTTGAGCACACATTAAAGCCTCCAATGTCTTTGGATGAAGTCGACTACGATGAGGACTTACTAATCTTCCACTTGTGCTGAAAGCTGATTCCGAGGCAACAGTGGAAACAGGAACAACTAATATATCTTTAGCTATCCTTTGTAGTGTCGGGTACTTAATCCCATTTGTTTTCCACCATGCCAACAAATCAAGTTCCATGTCTTTAGGCAACAATTTCTCCTTCAAGTAGTTATCCAACTCACTCATACCTCCTGATTCATCATCATCTCTAGTAATAGAAGCAATATCCGATAAGAGCTTTTTGAATCCAACACGATGACCAGAAGAGATACTAGAACCAAATGAAGATGAACCAGGAACTGAACCACCACAAACACGTAATGTTTAGTATAAAAATGTTAATAATTTAAGATAATGTTCTATTTATTATATAAACAATAAGAAGAATACAATACCTTCACTCTTCCTTTTTTTAGATGCATTACTTGACTCGTACTCTTGAAACAAAGTTGTGACAAACCCCTCCAAAATTTGAAATTCAATCTTTGCCTTTTCTTCTCCATAAAGCACAGGCAAAAGTAACTCCACAAACTTTAACTTGTATCGTGGATCTAAAACTGCTGCCATTCCCATTATCCCATGAATTACAGACCAATACTTATTGAACTTAGAAAGCATTTGGTTAGCCATCACCTTAATCTCCTCAATAGGAGATTTCGTCCACTCACGCAAAGAATATCCAATCTCACATATCAAAGGAAAAAAAACATTAGCTGTAGGATACTTTGAACCAGAGAACATATCAGTCACCTCATAAAAAAGTTGTAATCTTTCACAAATCTCACTAGCCAACTCCCAATCCTGGTCTGTAGGAAAACATATATACTTGGGGTCTCTTGTCTTCACGTGATCGAAAACCTCTTTGTAGCTTATAGCAACACTCAACATCAAGAATGTAGAGTTCCATCGTGTCTTGCAGTCAAGTATCAACTTCTTTGAGTATGGTATTCCCAACTGCTCTGCTACTGTCACAAAATTTTGCTCCCTTTTTGGTGATGCAGACCAAAATGCAACACTCTCTCTGATTCTCTCAATCTCAAATTTAATGAGAGATAAGCCATCTTGGACAATAAGATTGAGAATATGTGCGCAGCAACGCATATGAAACAAATCACCATTCATCATTAGTGATTTTAGAGGAAGTTTCTCTAATAATATCCTAATAATTGCATCATTTGTGGTGCAATTATCCACAGTAAGAGTTGACACTTTCCTATCAAGATTCCAATCACACAAAGTAGCATAAAGTATGTCGGCAAGAACATCAGATATATGCGGACAAGGCACGTAAACCTGTTTAAATATATATATATATATATATATATATATATATATATATATATATATATATATATATATAATATAATATAAGTACGTATAAATTGTAGTTAAATAAGTATAATATACCTCATAATTCTGCTTTGCAAGTTCCAGTTTTGATCTACAAAATGTGTTGTGATTGCCATAAACCCTTTTTTTTATGATTAGATGTCCACATATCAGTAGTAACTACAATTCTGCTTTTGTTCTTTGCTAACAAACTCATAGTTTTATCCCTTTCATAATCATAAATTCTTTTGATGTCCTCCTTGATGGTGTTTCGACAAGGAACCTTAAACAAAGGTTGAAGACCTCCCACAAACTTCCTAAATCCATGATGTTCTACAATTGAAAGCGGATACTCATGCAAAAAATCATTTCAGCCAAATCCTTCCTAGAAGTATCAGCATTAAATGTATAATTTGAAACATGCGTTGTAGTACCATCTACTTTCTTTTTTTCTTGCACCAAGATAGATTGACGGATATCTGTAAAAGGTTTGTGTATACAACGCTTATGATGTGCAAGTAAATGTTTTGTGCCATTCTTGCTATCTGCACCCAACACTTTAGAGCAATATTTACATCTTGCTTTAACTTCACCATTCAAATTAAATTTTATAAAATGTTGCCATGTCGGTGAACGCGTTGCCCTTTTCGAACCAACAACTTCATCTCCATCTTCATCAAAAACTGTATCATTAATATTTGTCCCATCTTGTTGATCCACAGAATCGGTATTTTGTTGATTAGAACCCGAACCTCCCACATCTTGACTACTTGCAGTTGGAGCATGATTTTGATCGGTTGAATTCATATTTCCTGAAAAATAACCAATGTCATATCATATTCAACAATTCTAATGTATCAAAAACCCAAATTTGACAACATCTTAGTCTTCATTAAAGGAATCCAAATCAATGTCTAATAATACAGCCGGATATCAAATAAAAATTTAATCTTAACAAAACTTAAATTCAAATAGAAGGTTAATAATAACATTGCTAAACGAGTCCCGGGTGTTTGTTTATCTTTATTATATCTATATTTGTAATATCATTCAAGTATCTAGACCTAAAATTTCATGGAAGCCAATAAATACTTTTATATTCTAATAGAAAAGATAGTTAGATACAAATTCATAGTTCAGACCCAAATGATGCAATCTAAGGAAATGAAATATCAATAAACATATTACATATACCATGTGTAGAGAAATCAGACTTGGTGAATAAGCTATTAAGTTGTGATCGAAATTAATACCTAAGATCAACAAGTTATTAAGTTATTAATACCTATGATCAATAAACATATTACAAATGGTGCAATCGAAATTAATACCACAAACAGATTTTAATGTTCATATGGATTTCAAGTATCAAAAACCCAAAGTTGACAACATCTTAGTCTTCATTAAAGGAATCCAAATCAATGTCTAATAATACAGCCGGATATCAAATAAAAATTTAATCTTAACAAAACTTAAATTCAAATAGAAGGTTAATAATAACATTGCTAAACGAGTCCCGGGTGTTTGTTTATCTTTATTATATCTATATTTGTAATATCATTCAAGTATCTAGACCTAAAATTTCATGGAAGCCAATAAATACTTTTATATTCTAATAGCAAAGATAGTTAGATACAAATTCATAGTTCAGACCCAAATGATGCAATCTAAGGAAATGAAATATCAATAAACATATTACATATACCATGTGTAGAGAAATCAGACTTGGTGAATAAGCTATTAAGCTGTGATCGAAATTAATACCTAAGATCAACAAGTTATTAAGCTATTAATACCTATGATCAATAAACATATTACAAATGGTGCAATCGAAATTAATACCACAAACAGATTTTAATGTTCATATGGATTTCAAGAATCAAAATTACAAGCTGTGATCGATTTCAAGAATTGAAATTTCAATGTTCATACCGAAATTACAAGCTGTGATCGATTTCCAGAATCGAAATTTCAATGTTCATGCCGAAATTACAAGCTGTGATCGATTTCAAGAATCAAAATTTCATTGGATTTCAAGAATCGAAATTACCTCTTGTGCGTGGCGTCGATCGAAGTCGGAAGAGAAAGAAAGTCGATTTCTTCATGAATCGTGTGGGTTGCGTATCCGTCTAACTGGTCGTCGCGTGTTGCTGAGTCGTTGCTTCGCTGCTTCGCTCTTCGCTGCTTCCCTTCTGGTGTATCGCTGCTTCGCTGCTTCCCTTGTGGTGTATCGATTTTTGGGTGTGTCGGCTAGAGTAGAAGAACGATTGAATGAAGAGAAGTGTAAGGAGGATACTGGAGTGGAAACGTGATTTTAGGGTTATGTGTTCAAGGGGCAGCAATGTAATTTCATATATATATATATATATATATATATATATATATATATATATATATATATATATATATATATATATATATATCGGGGCAGGGCGGGGCGGGGCGCGCATACCCACTCCCTGCCCCGAACCCGGATAAAATACCCAATAAAGACCCGTTACCCGACCCGAAACCCGATAAGAGCGACCCGACCCGACCCGAAATATTCGGGAATCGGGTTTCCCCGTCGGGTTCGGGTTTTTTTGCCATCCCTACCCAAGATCCCTACACGTGCTTTACAGGAGGACTTAGTACAAAGGTATTCACTTTCAATATCAAAGATGAAAGTATTCTGGGCCAAAGATATGGCAAAACAATATGTATATGGTGATTATGAGAAGCAGTGTGGTGTTTTGAGAGAATATGCCATGGAATTGAAGTCAAAGAATCCAGGAACAACTATGAAGATAGATGTTGAAACTGAACCCAATTTGTGTGTAGAAACAAGGATCTTCAAACGAATATATATATATATATATATATATATATATATATATATATATATATATTAGGTCCATTGAAGGAGCGATTTAAAAAAGGTTTGAGGGATTTTCTTGGATTTGATGGCACGTTTTTGAAGGGTCCCTTTCCAGGACAGATTCTTACTGCAGTTCGGCTTGATTCGAACAATGGCATTTACCCAGTTGCATATGCCATTGTAAAGACTGAAAATATTAACTCTTGGACATGGTTTTTGGAACACTTGGGTGATGAATTAGATTTGAATTCTTCATCTAACTTCACTTTCATTTCAGATCGGCAAAAGGTACCCTCTAACTTCAACAACTTTTTTTCATTTACTAACTTATTTTAATTGTACTCACAGGGAATCTTGGCTGCAATAGAGAAGTTATTTCCATCAGCTGTGCAAAGGTTCTGTTTAAGACATGTGTATGACAACATGAAATTGAAACTCAAAGGAGATGAATTAAGGGAAGCAATATGGTGTTGTGGAAAAGTATACAACATACCAAAATTTAATAGGGCTATGGAGAAACTGAAAAAGCTTAACTCAGAAGCACATGGGTGGTTAAGTAAAATTCCCGCAAAACACTGGGCAAGATCCCATTTCTCTGGTAAGTATCATACTCTTTTCACTAACATATTTCATAACTGATTTTAGTAATTAATTGTTTGGTTTTATATATAGGAAGGACATTGACTGATAGTTTGACAAATAACTTGTGTGAGGTATTTAACTCCAAGTTAAATGAGGCAAGGGACAAGCCTATAATCACTTGTTTGGAATACATTAGAGAATACCTCACAAAGAGAATAGTAAATGTTCATAAGGTGCTAGACAAATGCAAAGGTTCTCTAAGTACAACTGCAACAACAATCTTAGAAAACAATAAGACAGAGGCAGATAAGATGAGGGTTCTATTTAATGGAGCTGATAAATATCAAGTGACTGGTCTATAGATGGAGCAGTATGTTGTGAAATTGAAAGAGAGGAGTTGCACTTGCAGGAAATGGGACATTACAGGTATTCCATGCCATCATGCTATTGCTGCAATGTATGATAAGATGCAGAATGGGTCAGAATGTGGAGATCCTGAGGCTTGGGTGAGCAAATGTTACTGGCTTAGTACATGGAATGCTATGTACCAACACACAATTGACCCAATAAATGGAAAGAGCATATGGCCTAGATCTGATTGTCCAACAACCCTTCTCCCACCCAAACATCACAAACAGGTTTGTTGTCATACATGTTTTGTATAATTTAACTTGAAACTATTTTATAAACTTGTTAATATCTAACCATATAATTTTTTTTATAGGTTGTCAGGCCAAAGAAAAAAAGGAAGAGGACAGTTGATGAGCCAACTCAAAGTACCAAGTTAAGTAGGAAACACTTGACAGTCACTTGCAGCAAATGCCACAACAAAGGTCACAATGCTAGGACCTGTAAGGGGTAGGTGTGACAACCCGAAATTTCTATTATGTACAAACAATATCAAGTCAATAGAAGTTAGAACAGTTGCAGTAAATTTTCAGACTTTTAGTATAAGTTTGAGTATTTCAGGATTTACACTTAAAGACATATCAGGAGAGAGGATGCACTTGAGTTTTGTGCAACTCTATTATTCCAAAACTTCATGATATTAGACTTCACTGCCTGAATAAAATATTTTCTGCCAAAAATCCCAGGAGTATATATATGATTCATAGCCATATTATTTCATTTGTTACATTTTCAACTAGAGAAAAGTCGAATTCTCTCTCACGGATCTTCGGACTTTTGTCCCAAAACGTTCCATCTAGTTGTATTATAGAGGTTATTATGTGCTTAATAACCTAGAAATCATATCAAAACAACAAGATTAAAGAGTTTACAGCCCAAGAACTTCTTGGACCGTAAACCCTTCTTTAAGGGACAAATGAATGCCTTGTCCTTTCCTTGTGCAATGAAACTGGTTTAGATTCGTATCTTATTGAATGTAGGACTAGAAAACACCCAAAAACACCAAGAGTAAGGTGTTCACGGCCCAAGAAGTTCTTGGACCGTGAACTCCAAACTCAAGGGCCAAAAGATGCTTTGAACCCTCCAAAAGCCTTGGACACTAGCCTTGATTCACTTCTAGTTAATTTAGGAACTTGAAATCACCAAAAACCCATCCCAATGAGAGATTACAGCCATAATCTCTAAGGGTTTTGGTACTTGGGTCGTGAACATCAAATAAGGGTACCAAAGTGTGCCTAAGGCCTTCATTAGCCTTAGATAATTGTCTAAGACCTATCCTAGATGTGCATGGGACTTGAAAACATAAAAATACCCCTTTCCATATGGGTTTACGGCAGTAAACCCAAAAGGAAATGGCCTTGGGGCCGTAAACTCCTCAAAGGAGTGTATTAATGCCCTAAACCCTTCCAAGGATTAATCCATCAAGTAGAAATGCTTCTAAGGAACATGTAAAGCTTCAAAGCACAAAATAACCTAAGGCTTAGGAGCTTATGACCATAAACTCAAGGGTTTACGACCGTAAATTCCTTGTGTGTTGGTTCTTGGAGAGTAAACTCAAGAATGGGGTCCTTTGGAACGCTAAACCTAGTAGCCTTCTCCTACAACAACTTAGATGGAATCCTTAAGGCTTATAACACTTATATAAAGTGTTTGTCATGTTCTAGGATGTCTTAACATTTTCAATTAGTAGTTTAAGACTAATTGGATACATATATGTGGTATTATATGTTAACTAGGATCATAAAGTGTGTTCAAGACTTCACTTGACACCTAGCAATCCTACATCTTCAGTTCACCCGTACCACTCACTACAGGTGAGTTCATACCCCTTATTCAATGATTTAAATGTTTTTAAATGCTTTTATGGGGGGGGGGAATACAAGTTAAATACTTATAGTTATTACATCAATCACATGTGATTAATAACTACAAAACGAGTAGCTTTCTTACTGTTCAAACTGTTTATCAAACTGTATTGCTTCAAAACTGTTTTACAAACTCTTTTACTAAATACTTTTACTTAAACTCTTTTATACTTATTATCAAATGCATGTCTATGTATGTATAGTTATATAAGAAATGTTTAAAAGGCTTAGGAAGGCCTGCCCGCCCTATTTCCTTTTCGCTGTTGAGATGTGGTCTGGTGGGATATCGGGTACCCGTCCGAAGGTCGTTTATATATTAGTTATATATCATGTGTACATATATAGTCATAAAGGTTCTTCCAGCAAGGGTAGCAAGGGTATACTTCCATGTTCATACGTACCAGTTACATAACTAGTAAGTTACCATAGGGGTAGCACAGGAGGATACTAATACTATTACTAGAACAATGAAACATACAATGAGTCAGTTCATTCATGAGTCGGTTCGAGTAGTACTCACAATACATTACTATACATGCTAGATAAAGAGATAACATACATTACAGCTAGTACACACAGTATATTACTATACATGCTAGATAGAGAGAACATACATTACAGCTAGCACACGCAGAACATTTCAGTACATACAGGCTAGACAGAGAAAAGGGTACACTTTCAGTTAGCACATTCATTACATATACATTCATGCAGTTATGTGAACCATTGAGCGGGTCATAACACTTCCTTCCATGACCGCTCTTGTATCCCGAATCTCCTTAATTGAGAGCGTATGAGTTTGCGTATAGATCTATAATGGATTGACTATCCTACACCTTGTTGCTCGCTACAGTGGGAATTGCAAGTCTACGGGTGCCAAATGTCATTTCTTACGACATCTTACATCATCGTTTTACTAGAGTCGGTAGCAGGATACAGGTCGATCACATGTTACTTGGAACACCTTTTGTTTTAAGGTAATTAGTACCACGGTAGTCACTTATTACAAATACTACGGTACGATAATATTTTCCCATTACATTCACTTCGTGAATATTCACACGATGCACGGTAATGTAGAAACTATATTTTTGGTTAATGATAGTCAGAATTGGGAAAACGCACACTCTAATAAGAGACATACACACAGACACGAGATGCCTTGGTAGAAGGCTACAGTTAGTAGGAAACATAGGGTTTTCTTGGAGAGTT